TGGCTTTATTATTTAGTTAATGAATCAACTTATTTTTAGTACAACTTAATGAATCAACGTGCAATATAATAGGAGAAAAGAAAGAAGGGACAAGAGATTCAGTCTTATAATAAATATCCCCATAGGTTGTCCCAAGGGGGATATGCTTTGCTTGAGAAAAATATGATGGCAGATAAGTTAAAAGAAAGACAAGCAGCAGTTGGAAGGTCAGAGGTTCCACCTCCATCTCCACCACAACGACATGAGAAGTGGAAGAGAGCCCGACTAAAACCATCAAGAGAGTATACATTAGAAGACACACGTCTTGTTGCAGAAAAAATTGTAAGTAGTGTTACTTTGTTTTGGTATGCATCATTTCAATTCAACATATGCATATTTACTTTTACAATTCTGCCATGGTGACAAAACATCATTTTTTATGGTTACAACTCTGCTGTTTGGGAAGCATTCAACTCCGTGTCATGAAGAGTTGCATGCATCCTCGTCGGTCCAGTTTCCTTATTGTATCGACATCGGTAATCTGTTAACGTTCTTTATGCTATCTTGTTTATGCATTGGCAAGGTTGTATTATGATTCACATATGTTGCGAATTACGTTGGCTTTGATTTTTGCATTTTCTTGTTAAGTTAAGCAATGAATCTATTTTGGTTTTCTACAACTGTATACTGGATATGCCTTGATATAAACAATTTATCATGTGATTTGTGCTGGATATCCTGATAATGATAAATACTACATTAATGTGGATTTGTTTTTGGTCTCAAATTGAAGATTATTATTGTCATACTCTAACTGATATGTTGTTGTTGTTGGTCCTATTTTGACATACCCAAGAGTGATTGTTATAGTGTACCATTAATTACCATCTTTTTAATTACTGTACCATTAATCATCATCTTTTTAATTACCATTAATTTTTGGTGCTATCAAGTGAGACTGGTACACATACAAACCACTGTAATTTACATGAGTTAATAAGGGTGTATCCACCCGTTGATATATTATTCAGATCTTAATCTCAACCTACTTGAACTTAAGAATGAATTAACTCTCTATTTGCTAACTTTGAAGTGGCACTGACAGAATTTTGTTGAAAGACCGATGTTAAGCCTTTTTCTCTCTTGTGATAAAGCAATTAATGCCTTTTTCTTTTGATTTCTGCTCTGTTATATTTTCTTCTGTTTATTATGTCTGGATGTAATATTCGCACCCTGTATTGTTGATTGCTCCCCTCATTGGTTTACGAGGATATAGTTTGTTTTCAATTGACATATCCTCGACTTGGTTTACGAGGATATAGTTTGTCTTATTTTGAATAGTAGTACCTCATCATCTTTATTTTGAATTACTACTGTCATTATCTATCAAGATGCTGTCAAACTGAAAATTGTTAAAGTTTATTACGGTGGAAAAAAGATGCAGTATCATAACATTGTATTGTTCTATGCAGTGGAAAAAAGAATTAATGCACCGACATATCAATTTTTACTATTTTTTGAACTTGAATTGATGATATTTGTAGGATACTCTGGTGTCGGAAGGGAACTTTATCCCACAAGAACGACAAGATATTTTGACAGAAGCCACAGGGCGAGGTGAGCACCCTGGTCGTGTTCATGCTGTTGGTCGAGGTGTGGGGATTCGACAATTCTTTGGATCCCATTCTCGTAAACATTTTAGTACCCCACCTATTTTGAATAACGACCAAATAGAGACCATAAAAGCCGAGCTTACTAGGAGATTAGAGAGCAAGTGATGCGGGATATATCATCTTTGCCATCTTTTTCTCAAAAATACCCAAATGACCCTGTTTGTTCTCCTAATACCAATTTACAATATGCAAGCACAAAGGGTAGTTGTTCAAGGGTGTCACATATGCCAAATGATGATCAAGAGGACATTCCTGAAAATGTGAATTGTATGTTGATGGAAACACTCATTTAGTGGTATATGCTAATGTGTATAAGTTGGGGCCTAATATACACAATCAGGTGCTGAATAATGATATGGTGAGAGTGGTTGTTACCAAGGTGATAAATGAAAATGCTAAAGTACTAGTGCCCATAGATGAGGTTACAACGGTTGGTGAGGCCTCCAATACTTTCATTCAATGGCCGAAAATACTTTTGCAACTTACTTCTAATAAGATATTCATTATATTTATTATTCTCGTTTTACACAATTGAGACCTTTTTAATATGTTGTCTAATATTTTATTATATTTCACAGGTTCGGTCTAAGAAATATGATGTTCCACCAAAAAGTCAGAACCTATCTGTCAAAAGTTGGTAGTAAAGGCAATGTATATGGATCAAACTTTGAAGTTTAACGGTGAATTCGGTGGGACATATGCCTCTATTGAGCTCCTAAGGGAAGATATTGTAGACTTGTATATGGGTACAAAAGAATTAGGCATCACTATCTTACAAGTGTGGCTCATGTAAGTATATTTTATTTGTAAATTTAATAATTTATCATTTACTTAATTTCATTTATAATGCAAATAACTTTCAATATGTTATAGATATCTACACCGCCTTTGTATGGAATTGGGCAACAATAATGTTTATGGATTTATTGATCCGGGTTTCACTCATAGTCAAAATGAGTGTAGTAGTGTTCAGTCCTACATACAAAAGAAGATGTGTGATGATATAAAAGAATGTTACCTTACTCCTTATTTTAACAAGTAAGAATTTTCTCTTGTTATAGTCAAAACAACTGTATGTCAATCACTTATAGTTAATCACTTATTGTATTTTGTTCATGTAGTCATCATTGACAGTTGTTCATCATTAATCCTAAGAAGTTTGAAGTAGCCTTTCTATGTTCTTTGGGAAAGAAGCCAGATAAAATTTTTTATGACATTATTGAATTGTAAGTCTATACTACACTTGTCAATTGATTCAACTTGTAAGTAAATAGTATAAAAATGAAGTAGTAATATTATTATACTATGATTTTTAGTTTCTTGTTTCTGTTGCAAATTTATCAAATGATTTATGGTTCTAAAACAAATGTAAGTATCTTATTTATTTTGTTAATTATAAATAATTGCAGAGCTTTGGGAGCTTATAATAAGTTACAAGGTGTGAGAAAGCAGAAGAAGGTAGAATGGTTTTATCTCACTGTAAGTAATTGTTTACTTTACATACAAATGAGTAATTCCATATATATATATATATATATATATATATATATATATATATATATATATATATATATATATATATATATATATATATATATATATATATATATATATATATATATATATATATATATATATATATATATATATATATATATATATATATATATATATATATATATATATATATATATATATATATATATATATTCTATAACAATTTTTGAGTAATATCTATTGACTAGACATTCACATTTGATAATAAATTTTAGAGTCAAAAGCAACAAGTTAGTTATGAGTGCGGCTATTACATCATGGCTCACATGTTGAACATTATATCTGCTACTGTTGTTGGTTCATGGACACATGTAAGTAATATAATATTTTTAGCAAGTTGTATCAATTAATTAAAAAAAATTATGTTGATATATTAATTTAATTTTATGTCAACGTTTATTTATTTAGATATTTCAGGATTCAAATCCATTACAAAAAGAAGAAGTTAAAAATGTTCAAGAACTTTGTGCAAACATGACATTGGGACATATTGAAGAAAACACAGACAATGATATAAATTAGGTGCAATTCTGTGTTGGATGTTGGTTGTTGGCTGTTCAGAAGATGATATGATTTTTTCAGGCCAATATTTAAGGTTTCTTATTTTGATGATGTTTTGATAAGTACGTACTTGGTGCTTTAGAATTAACATGCACGTGTTTGTTTGTGTATTAGTATTATTAATATACGTAATTGTGTTTATAAGTTGTTCGTATATTTTATTTGATAATTAGGGGTTTTACTGTGATCTGTGTTATGTGATTTTTTTTGGGTGTAATTTGTTGATTGAGTTGGATAGTCTGATTTGGGGGTAAATTGTTAAATGGGAAAACTGCATCTGAATTGTGTGATTATCCACAAAAAAAAAACAAGTTCTTAGGTCGGTTAGTTATACCCGATTTAAGAAAGTAGTTCTTAGGTCGGGTATAAATGGTTTCTGCAGGCTAGACTTATTAAGTCGGGTTCTGCCTAACAGACCTAATAACAGTTTGTTAAGTCAGGTCCACAACCGAGTTAAGAAGTCAAAACTTCTTATGTCGGTAATTCTTAGGTCGGGCTCGGAACCGACTTGAAAAGTCTTTTTTCCACTAGTGTGTATTGATGGTCTGCAATGATCTTCGATAATTCTCTATTCAATTTCTGTAATTACATAATGTTATCAGCTGTCAATATAAAATAAGCTGAATTACTATAAAGGAAAATCCATAATTGTTGAATATTCACCAGAGTTTTGGATACCACTTATTTTTGTATGGCTAGAAAGAACAATTTTAAATGAAAGTTTAGTTGGATTCGATGGCGCCAGAGTGTGCCAATAAGAAAAATTAGAATCACACTTTTCGTGGTCTAGATTCGAAACCCACAAAAACAGTCTATTCCCGAAATATTGTAGATGGAGAATATTAAATTTGAATGGAAAATCTACACATTAAAGTATCCTAGTCCATCCTTGAGTAAATAGTAGATCCATAAAATCTCGATTCCATTCAACATGAAATTCATACAACCCGTCATACAAGTTACACCGTCGTGTAGATTTTTCATTCAAGTTTAATATTTGAAGTAAAGCAAGAAAGATTTTTAAATAATAAATACATGTTAAAATTACTATATACTTTTCCTTTTACAAAAGAAACAAGAGAAATCAACTTCCACAAGACATGCTTTACAGATTCCCACTCTTAGTGGATAACAGGCAATTTCCATTTGTTTTGCCTTTTTCATGATTGGTATTCAATCAGTGTCGTCTTCTTCATCTTACCAAACAACAATAATCAAAACTCAACTCTTATGGCGGAAGTGGCTGTGTCATTAGTTATTGACCAACTTCTTCCACTCATAACGAAAGAAACCAAACTGTTGAGAGGTATTCACAAGGAGTTTGCAGACATTAAAGATGAACTTGAAAACATTCAAGCGTTCCTTAAGGATGCTGATAAAAGATCTGCAACAACTGAAGGAATCAAAACATGGGTGAAGCAAGTTAGGGAAGCAGCTTTTCGCATTGAAGATATCATTGATGAATATATGATTCTGGTGGGACAGCAGCCTCTTCATCACGGCTTTCTATCTTTACTCCATAAGCTCAAAGCTATCATCTCTCGTCGTCGAATAGCGTCTGAGATTCAAGACATTAAGTCATATGTACGAGGGATCAAGGAAAGAAGTGAAAGATATGGCTTCCAACGTTCTCTTGAACAAGGACCAAGCAATTCTAGGGAAATTCGGAATTCTAAATGGCATGACCCTCGCTTGGCTGCTCTTTACATAAAAGAATCTGAAGTTGTGGGCTTTGAAGAGCCAAGGAAAAGATAGATTGGTTGGATGATAAAGGGAAGGGATGAGCACACTGTAGTTTCTGTGGTAGGAATGGGAGCGCAAGGAAAAACCACTCTTGCTAAGAAAGTTTTTGACAGCAAGGATGTAGTCCGCAACTTCGATTGTCGTGTTTGGATCACAGTCTCTCAATCATATACTGTTGAAGAGTTGTTGAAAGACATGCTGATAAAGTTTTTCAAAGAAACAGGAGACGATGCTGTCGCTTGCGCGAAAATAAGGTGCCGGCACAACAGAAGAGTCGCCACCTTTCGTTATTTATCCCTCAGAGCGGGAAAGGAAACGATCGGAAAAACCTAACGAAAAAGGGTAAGACAAGGTCATCGCAACCATTGTCTGGGTTTGGGAGTCGGTTACGCAAGGGGAAGGTATTAGCACCCCTCACGTTCGTCGTACTCGACGGGATCCACGCTTGTTGGTTTACTTGGACGGGTTGGTTTTATTCTATCTACCTATCAAGGCTGGCTGAAAAAGAAAAGAAAATGACTCGGCGAAGCGTCACACTTTATGCCTACGTATTCTCATCAGAGAATGAGAAATCAGAGTCAACGTAGTTCGGCCTACGAAGGGTTATGGGGGAAGGTAGCTCGCCAAGACATCGCCATCTTGTGCCTACGTACTCTCAACAGGCATGAGAGATCAGAGCTCACGTAGTTCGGGAAACTACGGTTTATTTCCTGTCTTGAAAGAAGTGTTTTTTATGGTGTTCGCGATTTCAACCGCACTAGAGACTATGACCTGAGAGTGAATGCGTCGCATGTCACCCAAAGGGTACCATACTAAACATCCAGACTGTGGAAAAGCAACTCTCCCACAATCCTTTCTCAGATAGCTTAAGGCTCGTAACGTACGAAAGAAATCATTCATGATTACTGTATCTTAAACTGTTTTGAGATGAGAAGAGAACAGGCCCAACTAGGAGGGAGACTATCAAGTCCTACTGTTGTCATGCCATGGATTCATCCTATGGTTGAGGTTTGAACAGGGAACTCCTAGATGTTGTCATGCATAGGTTTCAACCTAAAAGTCTATCATCAAATCCTTATCAAAGGAAATGAGAGTCCTAAGGGATCATGTCAATGATACACCAAAATAGACAAAGCATCAGCTTTAACAGTAAAATGCATGCAATGCAAGTGAGGGAGGAAATGTGTGTGGGGCTTTAGCCTCCACAAGCTCATCTCAACCTCAAGCCAGAATGAAATAACAGTAATCATACTGAAATATAAATAACATGCTATCAAGCAATAAACAGTAAACTGCAATCATACAGATAAAAAGAAATGAAATGCCATCAGGCAAACAAACCACATGGGCAAGGGAGCTGGGCTCTACCGAATACCCGCAAGCAAAGCCATACAGTAACAATACAAGCAGAGGGAGCAACTCAACCTCTAGTGCGATCATGCTCCTAGATTCTACCTATTCTAGATATGGACTTATTCTAATGCATCAAACAAGTCAAACAAAACACACAATACAGAAAAGAAAAAAGAAAACAGATCAACTCCTCTCTCAACTCCAAGCTTCAGCTTTTCCAACAGCAACTCAGTCTTCAGACTTCAACCACTTGACAAACATCAGTTTGCTTTTCCAGGTTTCAACCCTACAATATGAGTTTCAACTCATCTTCTCCCTTAAGCTTCAGCTTCTTGATCAGCTCCACCTTCAGGCTTCACTATCTTCTGGGATCTTCAAGTATCAACTTGATCTTCATGCTCTTCAAGCTTCAGCTGGAATGGCAACCTTCAAGGATTCATCCTCTTCAATACTCTTCAATGAAGTCTTCATCTCCAAGCTCAAGCTCTAACATCCATCAAGACAATCAAACCAGAGAAAAATCACTTACTGGATAAGATGGGGGATATTGAACTGCTTATTTGATCACCAAAGGTGACTTATAAGGGTTCAACATCAAAGAAATGGTTCCCTCAAAAGTTCTACTTCCTAGGTACATCACTTATCCCTCCAAAGGAGAGAGGTGAATACCATGGGAGGACTTTGAATCATAGGGAGGAATGGAGGTGAATGATACCATCCATGTTTAAGAAAGAAGTTATCTACATCTAAGCTCTTCCTAATCTCTAACCCTAAAACAACAAAAAAGAAAATAAGAACAAGCTCTCAAGCTCCTCAATTCATCTTCACACCTTCTACTATGCTCCACAATGCTCCACAATGAGATACCAAGCTTTCCAAGCTCACAAATCAAAGCAAACAACAATACAATGCCCTAATGGCAACACAAACAATCAACCAATACAAAAATCAACCAAAAATAGCATACTATTATATTAAATCCTAATATAATTTCTAAGGGATCCTACATACCTACCCTTAATACCCATATATGCCCCATATTCTAAATTGTCCTAAAAACCCAAAATCTAAAGTCATTATGGACCTACGTTGAAGTTTTAACCTAATTCTACACTACCTAGAATTACCTAATCAAAACTATCCTAAAAATCATCACAAAAATATGGAATTAATTCATGCGGAACCTAAAAAATATATCTAACTACCCTAAAAAGATTGACCTAAAAATACTAAAGGAACTACCCTAACTAAATTCTACAAATTAAGGTATCAACTTAAAAGAATTAAAAGTAAAAATATGCAAAAAATACTAAAATGAAATAAAATGGCAATTCTATGATTTCATATTTTTCTTGACAAAAATGTGAAAAGGGAGAAAAAACTCCCATAAAAAAATAATGATTTTTCTATTTATTATGCATTTTTAAAGTTTGAGAGAATTTGGAGAAAAATAAAGTGAAAATGGATGCATGGGGTGCAAACAGCAAGAATATACAATTAAAATCACACATGGGCCCAGACATGGGGGTGCGTATAGAAACGCGCCTGGCCCAGAATCCAACTCAGAAATCAAATAAAAAAGAAAAGAAAAATGGAAAACTGGCGATGTATTAAGCAACGGATTTTAGTTCAAACTGGATTTGGGCCTGAATAGGGGTGGGAATAGGAATCCAACGCACTAAGCCCAGACTGGCGTTTAATGAAACGCCGCGTTTCACACGTGTTTCTGACTCCCTCCAAAAGCTCAATTAAACGTGGGCCACAGGATCTGGTATCAAGTCAATGGTCAAGAGCTTCATCCAACGGACACGAACTCATCTTCTTCCTCACGTCTAGGGTTTGCAGAAAAAAACCATGAAAACACACTCCATGCAACAACCTTCCACCAATTCGTTCTCCCTCATTTCTCCACCAATCAACACGATGCAAAAACCAAACTCGATCAGAATTCCATGCTTGCTTCTTGAAATGGTAGGTGGTGAAAATCTTCGATTCAGGCCTTGAAACTCTTCAAGAATGCTCCCTAGATGATGAATCTTCCTCTGTTTGCAAAAGATTTGATGTAGAGAACTTGTACTTCAAGATCCAATGCAATTTGCCTTCTTGCAAATTCAATGTGAATACCTTCAAACCTTCATCAATGGAGCTTCACTCTAGCATGAACACACTCAGAAATGTTTATGGAGATGATTTGTGAAGAAAAATGGAATGGTAATGAAGAAGAATATGGAGTTTGAATATGATTTGCAAGTGAAGCTTTATGATTTCAATCACTATTCTCTACCACAATCAACACCAACCTTTCCTCAATGCAAGTCACAATTGTTATATAGAGAGGTTTAGTAAAGTCTAGAACCTTCTAGGATCATCTAATGAGACTTTGAATTTCTCATGACATGGTATTTTGCATTTTAATTCTCACCACATGGCATCTCATGCAAAAACCCTTATAATCCTTGTAACCAACTTGAATTTGTCCCCACATGATATTTTGGATTGGTTACAATGCATATCTTCCTTGTTTATTAAGCTTTTCCTTGTTTTGGTTTGGTACCCCATTATGCAAGCAATCAAATTACAAAGCAACCCTATGATGCAAGCCTCAAATCAAAATTGTGGCTGAACCATTGTTCTTAGAATGTCATTTGGAGTCAAAATGACCTATCATATGACATGGTTTGGATTCATAACTTGGGATTTATGATTTTCAACTTCACTTGAATTAACTTATGCCTCATTTTTAGGCCATTTTTATCACTTTTTGATATGAGCCTTTTCAACATCTCATGACCACCCTACTAGCCTTAAAACATCATTCTAAGAAAGTTTTATGTTGAAGATTTTTCCATTTGAAGCTTGGAAGTAGGAGATATGGCCTTATGCTTGAAATGACCTATAACTTCCAAATGATCAAAATGCCCTTGGCTTGTCAAAGCCATAAGTTGAGTTCTACAAATCCTATCAAGGACTTCTAGTACTCTCTAGAAAGCTAAGAAGATGATCTTCAAAATTAATGTTGACCAAGAGTTCATAGGAATCATCCTAGTAGGGAAAAAGTTGTCTGCAAGTTGGGTGACTTTCAAGGACCCAGATTCACATACCTCAGATGACCTGTAATTTGTCAAAACCATAACTTGAGCTCTGCAAATCCTATCAAGGACTTCTACCACTCAAATTAAATCTAAGAACAAGATCTACAACATTCATGTTATGGGGAAGATGAGATGACAATCACATCTTGATCTAAACTTCCTTGAAGATAGGGATCAAACTAGGGGATTTTACTCTGTCAATCCTTAGAAACCCGAGCTTGAAACTTCTCAAACTCCTCAATAATGATGAGTTGGTCTAGGAATCATCCTTATAGTATCTCAATACATCATTCCATGATCACATGGCCCTTGGATTAGGTCTCAACCTTCTCCAAATCATCAGTTGACCTAGGGTTGACCCAGTCAAACCCTAATTCTACCACTCATGGTTGAATCTTCTGAATTCTTGTACAATGACCTCTCTAGGCTTCATGATGGCTTTCAAGACATCTCATAATCTTTCTCAAAGCTTCAAGTCTATCCTCACAGTCTCAGAATCATCTGAGAAGCTCCCACAACTCTCAAGTTATGAGACACACAAACTTGGTTTCAACCAATTCCTCTGAG